GAGAAGCTTGATTATAAGAAGAGAAAGTAATTTTAATTTTACTTGTCTGCTATCTGTTAGAGCAGGAGGTGATTTTTGACAGTCTCAAGTTATAACTGATCCTATCATCTAATCAGTGAACTATCACTTGAGGTATGGATTGAATTCAAAATTGTCTGGAATACTTTAATCAAGAAACATTTAGAATAGTGCTGCACTGTAACTGCATTTAAATTTAGCTGCTCATTTTGCCTTCAGGGTTTAATGAATGCTACCTTTTTAAATATACATATCGAAAACACATTCCATACCAAACCAATAATTTAGTGACTTGGACCTAGCTTAGCATTCATAACTGACTACTGAATCTGAACAGCAAAGCTGTTAATCAACAACTATTTTTCTGTTACCAGTTTTTGTGAAGAACTGCTTCAAGATTAACTTAACCAGCCTACTGAATAGATCTCAACTGGAGGGCACATTCAGAGAGCTCAGGAAGATCCCTGGAAGCCTGAGAACAGAGAGCACAGGGTAACTGAGGGCTGTATCCCGGCCACCGTGTACTCTCTCTGCCCCAGGAGACTTTTCTTTGACCTCCTCTCCAGGATGCTTTCAGCTCCCAGCCTCAACTCAGGGATTACTAGGTGTGCTAACTAGGTAAGCTCTCAGGAACTAGGTCACAGTGCACATAAGGATGAGCCCAGACCACAGGGCCTGGGCCAATGGCACAGGACAGCGGGTATAAACTGCGCTTTGCCAGGCGGTTTGGGAGCTGGAGTGGGAGAAGAGCAAAAGCGTCTTGTGGACTGAGGTCTTGTGTGAGTGTGTAAAACTTCATCAATGTTTTTAACAATCACGGCAGTAACATAGTGACGCAACACCTGAGAATTTTCCATTTCTTTATTCCAAATAAACTTGTTAAAATTAGATATATGGATACCTGTAAAGGTACTTTCATTGTTTTAAGACTTTCACTGTTAGAGATTAACATTTTTAGTAAGAAAAGTTAGGGAACTTAGTCACAACACAGTGTGGTTTGAAAACAGAATTTTGTACTTAAATATGTATCTTCGGATTACGTGAAGGCAATAAACAGCTAGAGTTGCTTAAAAGCAAGGTAGACGAGTTGCTGAAGACAAACATTTGGATTATGATATAAATTAATTTTTACAAAGAACTAGGGGATGATGACTGGCTGTGGGGGGAAACTGGTGGATGTTGCATATTTTGACTTTACCAAGGGCTTTGATATAGTCTCCCATAGTACCTTTATAGCCAAACTGGTGAGTTATAGATTGGATAACTGGGAAATAAGGTTGTTGGAAAAATGGCTGGGCCATCAGGCTTAAAGTGTGGTGATCAGCAGTATGACTGTTTGACTCTGGGATCAATACCTGAGCCAGTACCCTTAATTCTTTATTAACAACCCGGAAGACTGAGCACACTCTCAGCAAGTTTGCCAATGATGATGAATTGAGGGGAGCAGTCACCGTGCAGGAGGGTAGGGCGTCCATTCAGAGTGGGGCGTACAGCCTGGAGAAACAGGCTGCTGAAGGGAACCTAATGAAATGCAGCAGCAAATGCAGACTGACATTTGGGATGGGAAAAGCCCGCGGATCAGTACAGGGGGCTGTAACTTCATGCAGCTTCATAGGAAAAGACACAGGTCCCTGGTGAATGAGCTGACCGTGAGCCAGCGATGCACCTTGCAGGAAACAAGGGCAGCCACCTCCTGGGCTGCGTTAGCAAGAGCGTAGCCAGGAGGTTGAGGGAGGTGGTCCTTCTACTCCATTCAGCACTTGAGGGACCACATGCTGGACTGCTTAGCTTTGGGCTCCCAAACAAATCCTAAGGGTTGCCTCAGGTCAGGGGCTGGCACACGTGGCCGATGTTCAGCCTGGAGAGAAGGCGTAGGGAGATCTTAGTGCTGTCAGCAGCTACGTTAAGAGGAGGGTATAGAGAAGATGGAGAAGCCAGACTTTTCTCCAGGGTGCACTACAGAAAGATAAGCAGCAATGCACCTGAGTGCATATAAAATTTTGGCCCAGTATAAGGGAGAAATATTTACCTTCACCAAACTTGGCAAAGGTTGCCCAGAGAGGATGTGAAGTCTCCATCCTCGGAGATAATCAAAATGGAGCAGAATTGGTGTGGAGTGCTGTGCTCTAGCTGGACCTGTTTTGAGAAGGAGGGTGGATTACAGACTTCTGTAGTCTGGGACTTCTGGAGGTCCCTTCCAACTTAACACCTTTCTATGGTGAGGTGGTCAGCGTGTTTTACTGGAAGGTAGTTTTACCAATTCTTTTTAAAGGATTACAGATTGTCAGGAAATATTAAGAAATAGGCTAACCCAAGGTTTTTTTAAACAAGCATTAAACAAACCATTAAATCAACCAACCCTTGGAATCTAGAGGAATCCATTCAAATGCAGGGGTTTAGACTTGAGGCAAGAAGAGTGGTTTATACCTACGGAATGATGAAGATGCCAGAGATGGCAGTAGCTTAGATTGACTTACAGGTCCTTAAAAGTAAATCTTCTCAAGACTTGAGACCAATATTGTAGCAGAAGATACTTTGAATACATTAATTTAGAAATAGCAATGGAAAATTAGGAAATTGGGTAGCAGTTCACTCAGTAAACAGAATTAGTAAGACTAGGTCTAGGACTGCCATACATCAAAAGATGTTCAGTGTTCAAAGGAGAAAGAAAACCAAGCTGGGAACAGAAAACAAACCTAAGATATAAGGCTTAGGGAGCTTAGTGTGTGTATACTGTAGGCAAGGGAGAGCTCAGATAAGGCAGTAAGCATGTGCAGGCTGTTGTATACGGTGGAGGAAGTGGGGAGAAGCCTATGGATTTGCTGCCCAGGGCCCAAGTAGTGACAGCTGAAGCAGGGTAAGTTCAACAGCGTAATACTTTCAGCAGTGAGAATTAACTAAACTTTGGAACAATGTAAAAGGAAAAGTGATGGATTTATCACAGTAAAAACTGTAAAATGGGGTAGGCATTATTAAAAAAAAAAAAAAAAAGCTTTAATCTACTTTGAGACAAATGTGAAAGACTGAGTACATGTGAAGAGAACAACAGCAGGTTGACCAGGACAATGCTTGCTCGATACCAGTAGCATTGAATTTTTTTTTCCTCAGTATGCTGCAAGTTGGTCTCTTGAAGACTGTAACACTTTGATCTTAACTGTTGTTTTAATACAACTTGTTGTTCTAATGGTTTATAGATGAAACTAAAAGCTACATGCAAAGCCAACATGGCAGGGTGAAGGAAGATACAAGTGCATACATCCCTATTGTAAATGCAATTTGTAACAACAAAAATGCTTTTGCTAGCGTGAAGTCTTTAGTAGCCTTAAACTGGTTACACTTGCTGGCAAGTGACAGACTGTAGTAACAGAAATTGTTGTAGTGTACTGTTGATGAACCTTTGTAGTTTGAAATATTTTAAGCTCTGATGAGCTTGTTTCTATCGTAGATACACCTCAACACTGTTCTTTTATTACTTCAGAAGAAGTCCTAGTCTTTCCACTCACTGATCTGTACAGTAGCTTCACATCGTAAAAAGGCCAAGCACAGATTTATCAATTTTAATTTCATCTTTATTTCCCTAAATCAGTTACACTTCAAGTGGTTAGATCCTTTGTTTCACATTTCTCACCGTAAGTACGCACCTACAGTAGCTACCACCAAATGTGCACCTATTACCATCTAATAGACATTAGGTGTTACTGTATTTTTTCAATCTGATGCAAATATCATTTGCTAACAACCATTTATACTTATTTTCTCAACTTACATGAAACAGAGATAGGTTGTAAATTGATGATGTTCTGTTTGCTGCTGGTCCAGCCAGTACTGGCATGTGTAGCAGCTGTAAAACTCAATCATGAACAGTTAAATAAACAGCCGTGTAGAAGCATCTCAAGGGTTCTACGTATGGGGTTATTTCACACTGCACTAGGATGAAAACCCTACTCAGTAGTGTCTACTCTATTCCACACACCTCTCTTCAGTAAAAGGGCTTGTCTTCATACCCTTTAAAGACACACCTTGTGCAACTACGAATTTAATGGAATAAAGACAGTGACTGTTAGAACTACTTGTTGAAGCAGATACAGAATGTCTCTCACTAGGAGGCCATGACATAGACTGAATCTTTCTGGATTGGCTGAAAAGCACAGAATGCATAGAAGTTCCTACTGTCCCCTACAGAATGTTTTTACAGAAAAATAATTTATGCAAAACCAGACTTATCCTCTCTACCCAAAAATCTCAATTTCAAAGAATCTTTGCATATTCCTTATGGAGTCAACAGGAGAATACATTTTTCTAGAGTGGCAAATACTCTCTTTTAGAAGAAATGCTTGATATCTTTGGTTTGCTTATATGCTGGATGGAAAAAAAAAAAAGTTTTAAAGGGAATAAACACCTAGTTACCTGAGATTCATCTTTCATTTCTTCTAACATAAACTTTGGATAAGATTAGCTGTTTGGCAGCTGAAAAGGGAAATTCTCTACAAAGCAAGGAAACACAAAGCTTATTTTAGTACTGCATATTAAATAAGACAAGGCTGTTTTAGTAAAACTAACTCTTAAGGTTAGTTAAAAAACAAAACTACCAGTCCTGTTCTGTACCACCACCTTCTTTACAAATATAAATTATTACAAAAATATTCATAATAGTATTTCTATATTAATCTATTAGTCCATATTATATTTTGAAAAAGTGCTTACAGAGGCAAGTTTAACTGCAAACTCCTACCCTTTCAGTTGTCTAAAACCCTGATCCAGTTGTTTAAAACCCTTGTTCAATACAGAACAAGGAGTTAAATTAACTTTCATTTTTCCTTCTACGAATGCCCTCCCTACTTTTACATTTTCATGTCAAATTAAGTAAAAGTTGCTTGAAAAATACAGTGTGATTTATGTTAAATTGCAGATTAGCAATGTCGTTACTTCTAAATAGGAAGTTTCATCTCTAATGTAAGGCTTTGAGAAATATTTCATTGCTTTCATTTTTTATCCTTCTTCTCATTATCCAATACTTTATATTCATCTAACACAGCATGGCCAGTTTCCTTTGCAGTTCTCTTTACAACAGCTTTGATACCAATGTTGTCAATGTTAAACGCTGTCACACCAACATTGATTGCAGAATTCATAGCGTTGTCTGTAGCATGGCCAGCAGCATCTCCATACCTGAAAAAAGACAGCAGTTTTGTAGATTTGTATACTTAGTATTTTAATCTTCACTGGAATTCTTTCGAAAGCAAAAATTTAAGCATTACCAAGAAAAAATAATAAGCACACAGCCTGAATGTCTAAATAAAATTAGAAATTACCAAGCCATTTGAGTAAGGGCTGCTCCTCTATCAGAAGGATTACTCTTTATAAGATACCAATATGCTTCTGCCCTTTTTCCTCAAAAAACCTTCAAGTCTTTCTCCCTCCTTCCTCTCTAGGTTTGAAGAGTAGAGGGCTTATCTATAGAACCATAAGAAGGGGGATGGGGTCAGGGAAGTCGTGTGCAATAACCCCTAAGCATTTTTTCACCTAAGTTCTTAGGTAAAATTGCTAATACCCTCCCCTATCCCCATGTAAGTCCTCACAGCTAGGCCCTTGCAGCTGCTAAACCTTCTCGGTCTGTACCATGGGTGGCAGCACTGAAGAGAAGGGAGGGCAAACACTGTCCTGCCTTCTCACCTGTTACAGAAAAAGGGACTGGAATCACCTCAGGCATATTTTTTCTCAGTCGGTACCACCACTGCCAGAATAGTGCTTGGTTAGTACTTGTCCTATATCACCTTTGCCTGTGTCTACACAGCACGATACGCTACTATGTCTGGTGTAACAGCAACACACTGGCATGTTAGTTCAAACTCCCAAGAGCAGGCTCACTGAGGCAGAGCACCACTGTGCTCAAGCCAATTAACCCAGACAGATTAACATCTCTCCTGGGTAGACAGAACTGCTGGCACAGCTATGCTTATATGTTGGAGGTAGCAAGGTCCCTATGAAAAAAAAAATCCATTGTGCAGCGAAAACTTATCCAAAGTGACCTGGAAACGATAAAGTGGTGAAGGGGAAGGGTGAGGGGAAGAAGTCATAAGAGACTCCAAAAGGCTCAACAAAGCTATCTTGAGGATAGCCTGGAGAAGAGAAGGCTTCGGGAGACGTTACAGTGGCCTCCCAGTACTTAAAGGGGGCCTACAGGAAAGGTGGGGAGGGACTCTTGATCAGGGAGTGCAGTGATAGGATGAGGGGTAATGGTTTCAAAGTGAAAGAGGGGAGATTTGGATTAGATATTAGGCAGAAGTTCTTCACTGTGAGGGTGGTGAGGCACTGGAGCAGGTTGCCCAGAGCAGCTGTGGCTGCCCCCTCCCTGGCAGTGTTCAAGGCCAGGCTGGATGGGGCTTTGAGCCACCTGGTCTGGTGGAAGGTGTCCCTGTCCATGGCACAAGGGTTGGAACTGGATGATCTTCAGGGTCCCTTCCAATCCAAGCCATTCTGTTATTCTATGATATGATGAAAATTACTAAGAGATGAAACCTTTGGTCTCTCCACTGGGCTGTGGGTCCAGGTTCTTTATACTTTAGGGGGCAAGTCAGCAGTTTCATTTTAATTACTGAACTGTGAAGAAATGAACTTCTTCCCCACAGAGAGAGCATACTGAAGGAGGAGAAGAATACAGCGAGTGCAGTAACTCCAACTGTTCTGGGCAGCCAGACATTCCCCCAGAGAGCACTGTAATCAGACAAACCAGGCCAAAGGGAAGTATTTCTGGCAGCATTAGAATCTCGGCAGTTAGCGGAGTTACTTTTTCCCCTGTGCTTCTTATGACCAGAGGTTCTTTGGAGACCTCAAAATAAGGCTAGAGAGAAGCACAGAAGATCAAAGAATCCAAAAATCTATTGCAGTATCAGTATCAGCAGCCATGGCATAATGGTTGTAACCAACAATGAAACTGATTAAAACGAATTAGTGGGTTTTTTTGGTTTTGATTCTCTGATAGAGCAACAGCCGTTAATCACCAGCATCGGATTTGCAGATCACAGACTTAAGCTCACAGCAAAAGTGCAGTATTTGTCAATTTGGTTAGTTATTTTCACCTCAGGAACATCATAAGGCAATTTTATATAACATCAGTGAAATAGGTAACCTCATTTAAAGTAAGACAGTCGCTTATCCAATACAGTTAGACTAACAATTTCTTAATATCTGACAACTGATTTTTCAGTTTGCTTGTTGCAATTGCATCAATTGTAACTTTTTTTTTTTTTTAGAAACAGCTGGGCAGATGTAGATACTGCAGTTACTTAAACTGCTGTTAAAACCCACCAAAGTAATAGCATGGTACTTTGCCCGAAATATTACTTCTGAAGCTACATTTTCCCCCAGTTCTGATTGACATGCACATAGGATAAGCTTCTCTGTATAATTCCATCTGCAAAGGTAACTGCAGCTAACTTTTAGCTGAGTGCTTTGTTGATTTACAGACACTGTGATGATGCTCCTTTAGCTTTATTTCCATTAAGTGGAATTTATCTCATTCACTGAAGTATTTTGAGTGGCAGAAATCTTTGTCACCGAAACAAAAACCAGCTTCCAAGAGGCATTACGTAGCATTTTAATACATTTATATAGACAGATTTTAAAGATCACTTATCAAATATTTTCAATTGTAACTGCAATATTTAATTACTTAATGTTTTTCACTCTTAGAGGCTGTTGACTGCTCATCTTCACATTTCCTACTTTTATATCTAAACCAGAAACATTAATGTGCATTTATGTGAAATGAGTCCCAGTACAACACCTCCTGACATTCCTACTGAAACAAACAATAGCAATAAAGCATAACTCACTAGAACTCTATCTGGCCTCCTATTTGAAATGCATCATGACACTACCCTGAACGCCATCTGCTTAATACTGTATGCTGACGTTTACCTTGTTACCTTCTGCTAGCAGCCTGTATGCACTGTCAGAAATCCTTTTTAACATCTCTTCTGCTACACTTACCACCGATTCCATTTACCTACTTGCTTTTGCTTACTCTTCACTTTGTTATACCTATTGCACTTTTTTTGAGGGGTGCATTTCATCTCATTGGCAGTTATTTCAGTATATTACCTTGTTCTCCACAATATCTTCCAGTACAGGCACTCAACTTTGGTCTTTCCATCATCTTAGTAAAATCATTTTAATCCCAAATGTTACTATCCTCTTCCCCCATCATCTTTAAGAACATGTGTATTTTGCAAGTCAAGGCTACCCTATCATTGCTATTTATGCCCTAGATTTCCTTACACAATTTTCTTTTTTGTACCTCCTTGCTTTAGTCAGACCTGCTGATAGATCAAGTTCTTCCATTTTACTTAAATTTAGCTTTTACATAAATTCAAGATCAGAGCTGAGACGTTTAAACCAGTAACATTTTTCATAATGACATTATACTGTAGAGCAAAGATATAAATCTGAACATTATTTGTAACATAGACTGAAGCTGTAATACTTCTAGAAGAGAGCTAAAAAAATACCACAATCATTTACTCATTTCATATTTTTACTTACAGGAGATGCTCATTACTGTGCCCTTAGCAGCTTATCATGTGCTGCATAATTAGAGCAAAGCAGGTATTTCAGTTAGCTTCCCTGCACTTTCATAAGCTTTTTTTTTGCTAGTATTCAAACACAATAACAACATGCTGTACAAGATGAAACCAATAAAAAAGATAACTTACTTGTATTTGACAGTTTTTACAGTCTCAGTTGAAACACTTTTAGCAATGCACTTCGCTGCACTTTCTAAACCTTGCCACACTGTTGAAAACCCTGTAAAAACGAGCAGCTTATTTGAGTTCATAGCGTCGAGAAAAATGCAATTAAAAAAGTGTAAGGAATTTTTATTACCTTGAACTCCACTTGCTGCTACCACCAGAGCACCATCAAAAGTAGATTTGCCATCTTTATCTTTCTTAAGGGATTCTGGAACTAATTTGCTGCCATGCTTCTTCACGTGTGGAGCCAGCTCCTTTCCGACATAGCTTGCTATAGAGCACACTCCCTCAACTATCATAAAACAATAGTATGCAGATTATTTAGTAACAACATAAACCATCTTTCTTTAAAAATCCTTACTCCTAATTCAAAGTAAGCTTCACTGAAGTCTTAAGTGTTGCTTCTATTTAAATATGCTTATTTGAAAGACAGACTTTAATCCACACTTAAGTACCCAAGCGACACAGAAGCAACCTTATTTTTCAGATTTTGCACAGTCCAGTTCCTAAGAAACAAGTAAGGTTGGTCTTATGGCTAAAAAGCACTTTAAAAGAAATACATACACATCTAAATGACATAAAAGGTCATTTAGCTGTGGTGCTTGGAGATATGGCTTAGGGGTGTACTCAGTAGAGTAGGGTTGGTTGGACTCGATCTCAAAGGTCTTTTCCAACCTGAATGACTCTATGATCTCACACTCAAATTTCAAGAAACCGTTTCCATTGCTTTGTTATCTCCAACTTGCAGATAGAGAACAAGCTGGGTTTCTTTCCTGACTTGTCTTCTGGAGAAGTCTTTCTTACAATCATTCCAGCTCTTCAAAGTAGCTTTATAACATCCAGCACAATTTGCTTTTAAACTTGGATGAGTCACTAGACACTGAATATAAACATTAATGCAAATAAATAACAGGATGAAGTTGCCAAGCACCTCTGAACACCAAGCCATTTCTACTGGAAAGTTTACACACAGTCTAATAGACTTATTTCAGGTGTGCATGTTCAAAAACACGTACAGACACATTCTCTAGTGGTGCAGTATGTTAGTGACCACTGACAGTACAGCTTTTAAACTACATGGCTATCAAATTAAGAAGAAATACACCATTTTGAATTAACTGTCTAAAACTTAGAAAATCATACCAAACTTAACACTGTACAGACTATTCTTTTAGGAAAGAAAAAGATGCTTCAAGGCCATATAATAAACATTAGTCCTAAACCATGTCTCTTGCAGGAGATAACTAGGCACAAACTACTGGATTTCATCAGGTCAGTCTCTCCTCCAGTTCACTGGCTAGAGAAACCAGCTTTTCTTTTACAAAATATTATTTAAGGCAAGAATATAATATACTATGAGATGGAAATTTTTACCTAAGAATTGGCTGACTTTCACAGCTCCTCCTGTAGCCTGTTTTGCTACATGAAGTCCCTTTGCTACAGTTGGGCTGACTTCCACAGGTTTTTCTTCTGGTTGAATGTGTTCTCGCAGTTTAGAAGCTCCTTTGTGGATAGCTTTACCAGTATATTCTGCTCCTTTTATCAGGCCCCAGCTTACCCAAGATGCACCTTCAAGGCAAAAATTGTTTTTCTTAGAATGTACAATTTTACAGGCTACAATTCCTACAGCTTGCCCTCATCTGCCTCTGCAACACTGACTTCAGAAACAGTCCTGATTACAGTCTGCAATTACATTATTCCCTGAATGGGACAGCGTGAATTTCTGCAGTGATTTCTGCTCCTACACCACCCACGTTTTTTCAATTTGCTTTATTTAATATAGCCAGCCTTCATCCAAATGTCAGCTTAATACAGACAATCAGTTTTTTAATAGATATCCAAGCCCCAGCTGGGTCAGAAGCGACAGAACTGCACATCTCAAGGCTATTAACATTCTGAAAACATAAAATCTAACCCTCTAGTCATCCTAACAGATTCATATTTCTTAAAATCAGCTGGTGGTCATTAGTATATTCCAAAGGTTCTCAGAGGGCCAAAAATGTTTATCTGCAGAAATTACAATAGATGCCTGCTTTAATATAACTGCTCATACAGGAGTAAAATTGTTCTATTTGAGGCCAGCCTTGTTTAATATCTTCATCAATGACCTGGATGAGAAGATGGAGTGCTCCCTCAGCAAGTTTGCAGATGACGCAAAATTGGGTGGGAGTGTTGATCTGCTTAGGGGTAGGAAGGCTCTGCAGAGGGACCTGGACAGGCTGGATCGATGGACTGAGGCCAATTGTATGAGGTTCAACGAGGCGAAGTGCTGGGTCCTGCACTTGGGTCACAA